CACTATGTCATATGGGCCTTCCCATGGAGAAGACAACTCAGGAGACTTCCCTTTGATCTTCCTGGGATAATACAACCACACCTTGTCTCCTGGTACAAAGCTGACTTCATTAGATTTCTTATCATAACATAGCTTCATGGAATCAGCAGACATTTTCAAGTTTGAACGCACTTGATAGTGAATAACATCCATCCTTTCAGATAACATTTTCACGAACTCTGACACATTTTCAGGCAACTCTTCATAAGGTGGGTGTCCTGTTATCAGAACCACTGGCAACCAAAGACCAAACATCAGCTTTGCTGGAGTGTATCCAGTGGCTTCATGCTCTGCTGTATTATAGGCCATCAACAGTGGAGGGAGTAAGACATCCCAGTCATCTTGACGGCTATTACAAAACTTTGCCAATTCCTGTCCCAGTGTCCAATTGTACTTCTCTACTATCCCATCAGACTGTGGGTGAAGTGGCGTTGTCCTGGTCTTTCGTAGACCAAACAACTTGCAGCATTCATGAAACACAGCTGATTCAAAGTTACGGCCTTGATCTGAATGCAGTTCGTATAGCATACCAAACCTGAAGAAGAAATCACTAATAGCCGAAGCTACAGTTTTAGCCTTCTGATTTCGCATTGCATATGCCTCAGGCCACTTGGTGAAATAATCCATCACCACACAAATGTACTTGTTTCAAGCACGAGTTTGGAGAAAAGGACCATCAATGTCAATGGCTACTCTTTCTATTGGTGCACCAACTTGATATAATTTCATGGGTCCTTATGCTTGGGTCCCTTTTTGCACAACATGTACTGCAGGTCCTGCACCATTCTTCCACATCTTGCCTCATACCTATCCAGTAAAATCTCTGCCGTAGGTGACTCAATGTATTCTTAACTCCAAGATGTTCTCCTGTTAAACTATCATGGTATTGACGCAGCACAACTTCCCGTAACTTTCTCGGTATAACTTTTTGCCAAGTCGTCACTTTCCCATCTGCAGTTTCCCATCTCTGGACAAGACTACCATCTTCAAGTTTCAACTGGTCCCATTGGGCCCAATAGTTCTTTGTCACAGGGCTTAAGCTAGACACCTTCTCCAAAACACTTGCTTGTAGAAATTCAATTATTGGCTTCAAATCTTGGTCTTTCTCCTGTTCTGCTTTGATATCTATACTTGGTTCCACTTCACAATCATCAACTCCTTCAGTTAGTTTGACTTCAGCTTGATGGCACCTGGTTAGTTCAACCTCTCTTTTGCAGCAAAGTCTGTAGTCATTTTTGCAGGGTCTTCAGCTCAGTCTGTCGGCACTTCCATGAGATTTTCCTTCTCTGTATTCAATATCATAATTATACTGGTCTAACTTTCTGATCCAACGTTTCAGCTGTCTCTGTGGATTATTTAATGATCTTAACCAGCGTAATGCAACATGGTCTATTCTGATGGAAAACCTAGCCCCACAGAGGCAAGGATAAATATCTCAGACTCTTTACTATAGCAAGGAGTTCCCTTCGTGTTACACAGTAGTTCCTCTCTGGTCTA